ATTGATGACTAGCCTTAATCGAAAGTTCTCTCTCGTGATCGGGAGGGGTAATTAACTATAGGGGCTTGCGCCTATAGGGAACCAGAACTCAGATCATAAAGTCCTCACAAAATGAGGGCGAAATCTCTGGGTAGTGTCTTATCTACAAACCCATCTGCCTTCCAAAATTTACCTCGGAACTTAGTTCGTTAAAACTCTCTCGCCGAAAAAAAAAAAGCGAGCGGAGGCCGAGGCCGAATTTTCGGAGCCCACAATATTTTTATCTTTTCTTGATGAATTTATCATTGACGAGATCTTTTAATTCACATAACTACATTATAATTTCTAGATCTGGTAGCTCTTGTGTGGACTTATGATAAAGAGTAAATTTTAGATTTTAAATTAAAATTTTCAAAATGTTCTATAGATTCATTTGGTTTTTAGAAGACAATAGATAGAAATGTAGATAATACATAAAACATTATGGATATTTAAAATAATAAAAGAATTTTGTCATATTTAAACAAGAAAGTTAATATGCTCAATGATATATTTTATTTGATTAAAATTATTTAAGAAAAATTAGGATTAATTTTATAGAATATATATAAAGCGAGGACTATTTGAGGTATGCATTTAAATTTAAAAAATTATAGTAAGATCGCATGCTGTTATAGGTATTAAAACAAACAAGGTGGTGTATGAGTGAAAAAATATACAATTTCTGAACTTGAGTTAAGTTTTCATTTTTCTGAATAGAAATGATTTTGTTTTTCCTAAATATAATGTATCAATTATTATTGATACTTACTCAGCTAATTCCTATTATAAATTTATTTATAATTTATCTTTGTTATAGATGATTGGTCGTGTTGAAATACAAGACATGAATTTATTCAATTATTTATCAAATATCATATAAGACTCATCATATAAAGATATGGAATGATGGAAAGAAAGCAAATGAAATTATTTATGTAAAAACAATTGCATGTCCATGTTGATTAATGCAGCATACTTCCTTATAGTACTGATTGAGATGCAATATATCTGTGTGCGTAAATTTGAAAAGGTCTTGGAAAAGGATGTACCTTAAATGTACAATTTAGATGACTTCTATAATGGTTGTATTATATAAAAGATGAAAAAGATAAAATTTGGTATGATTATATATACAAAGAAAAAGTTTAAAACTCTTGCATAGTTATAATTGAATATAATGAATTTCCGAATGATTTATGATGATTTATTTTAACTAGCATATAAATTGGTTTCTGAATCTTCGTTATGTTCCTGTAATTTAGAAATATGATATATCCATTGAGTGATGATAACTCATAATTATGGCAAATAATACTTTAAGGATAAGTTATTAAAAACTAAATGAGTGGACTAAGAGAATCTATTTATCAAAGACATGGAAATACAAGATAAAGATATTTATCTCAAATTTGTTATATTTTTTATCTAAAAAGAATTATTTATGATTTAATGGCTCTTTCAATATATTTGAAGTTTGTACGACCAATCATGTTGATATTAGTAGACGCTGTTGAGAATTGACAAGTCAAAGGAATTTGATTTTGATTTTACATTAATTAAATTCAAAATGATTATCAAATATTGATGAGGACATCGGAGATCAACGACTACGATTTTTTTTTTAGTTATTTATTTATATGTTTTTGTACTAGTTTATTTTATATTGTTGTTTTTCCATTTATACCCTTATGGGTGGTCGTGTAGTGTTGTAGCCCGAAGGGCATTTTAGTCTTTGTTATTTTTCTTTTCATGAGGCCTATTTATAGGCTAGCTTTTACAAGTGCAAACTTTCTTAAGCAAGTCATTTTCGCATGAATTGTATCACATCAGATATGTTCCAAATTTCAAAATAATTATCAGCCTGACCAGCAACTTGTAGCCATATAAAAAATAGTTGCTCTAATTTAAGTTTATAAGATAATAACAAATAGATCGCAAAATTTAACACTCAGTTCACTACTTGTAAAATTCCATCATTTGGTTTCCCCTCCAAAATCTTTTCTAATACTTAAAACGTTTTTGAAGGACCAAATTGTAGTTGTGTGATATTAGAAAATTAGTCCTAATATTGCCTACCCAAAATTTGTGACAATATGACGCAATTTATACTCATGAAAAAACTTTAACTTTTTGTTTTCATTTGTTCTACATGTGTTCAAGTATGACTGTAGCAAGCCCTTGTAAAACTCCGCTATGAGGTTTGTCTAGACATACTAATAATTCTCTGCCACAAGTTATAAAACCAAAACAAATTAGTATTAACTCGAAAATTCTAGATTCACCTCCATTCAGAGGCAGCTATTACAAAGAAGTACTAAAACATCTTCATCCGAGGCTGAAGAATGCGTTTGTCTCATTCAGCAACTGAGGGGATTGACCTCCACAATGGTAAATGTGCTAATTTTTTTGGAGTGATGATATTCCGCCACACGTTTACAATTACTACAGGTATTGCTTAGGTTCATTTTGAGATCACTTGAAATTTTAATTTATTTTCAAATAAATAAATTAAGTTGTTGATAAAACATATTTTTTAAAGTCATTTTTTATGATTATATAATGTATCATATTTTGTAGCAAGTTTAATTGCTCAGGAATCTGAAACTGCTTCAGGAAATTCTACAAACTATTTTAGAGGAAGAAGAGGAACGAAATCCATAACTATAAATTAACTAGAAAATACAGTACTATAGGATATCTATATATATATACATTTATATTTGAAGTTTATTATTTAAAAAGACGAAGAAAAACAGCAAAACCACAACTTAAGTATTTGATATTGATTTAAATTTTTTTAAATCAAATCAGCATACACAACACTTAAACTTAGATGTAAAAGGACACACCTCCATGGCTCGGATAGATACCCCAATCAGGGAAAGCGGATACACCACAAGCTTATATCCTATCTCCTGGAGTTCGGCTGGGCTCAATATTGGTGTTTTTCCTCCACCCTCAAGCATGTTGGCCTAAAATGCAAAACAAAAGAATATTTGAAGTAAAGAATACAGCACATAGTCATTTACATCGAAAGAACCTCCCAAGCAAACAATAGAGAACAAACAGCTCTAATGATATAAAAAATAAGAGGACAAGTTTCATGCTGTCCCCCCATGTTAACTGTTGATTGATTAAACAAACAATAATAATGAGAATACAATAATCACTATAGCAATTTTACAAAAATCGAGTTTGTAACAGTGTTTATCTTCTATATAAAAAAAATAAATTAATTGCATAATAATTTGAAAATTGATTGGAGTAATAGTGACCTTGAGAAGAGGAAAATGGTATACAATGGATTTTTATCTTTGCTTGTCATGCCTATGGAAATGGACAACTTTGCTGGAGATAAAACTTTTTTTCTCCAACTAAGATAATCTGCACCAGTGGAAAACCGACACCCACATCAAATAAATCCTACTCGAGTTGATGTATCGAATGAGGGAAATCTTGTGACTATCAAATTATATATATATCATTATCCATCGAGCTGTATAGGCAAAAACCGTTATTTTTCATAGATAATCATATGTATAATTCTATCTACTCTTCTAATGGTTTGCTTGCATAGATTATAAAGGCCTATGACCGTTTTGTCCTACGGGATAGTGCGATTATACTTTTTGCATCCTACCCTCGCTAGCAGTATCCTTTCGGAGACCCACATTAGGTTTGCTCTATGAATTTCTTTTCTCCATTCATTTCAATTTAGTAATTGATGTTAATAATGAAATCTTTTTGTCAGAAATTCCAAAACAAGTTAACTTTAATGTGAGAACCGGTTCAACCGATTCAATTGAACCGGTTTCTATCCAATAGAAGAAGGGAAAACCGTGCGAACTGAGAGCAGCACGCAACCTGGAGCAGGCCAAACGCTTGCGTGGACGAATCTAGATGTCTCGATTCACGGTTTTGAGCGAAGGATCACATTCGTAGAAGTAAATTAACCAATACTTACGTGAGAAATAGCATTCCATTCGTTCCTGGAGAAAGAAAAATGCGAGAAAGAGAGAGTTCCGTTGTGAGGAACGGCTGAGAAGAAAGAAGGTTCGTTGATTTTTTTCCCATTTTCTATGTAAATCCTTTCATATTATCTCTTCTAACGATGAGGGATGTTTAATTAGAGGCAAAAGAAGAGATTGAAAATGGAAGGAAGAAATTTGAAAAGAAAGAAGAAAGAATTTGAGAATTTTTCTTCTGAAGTTTCTTTTATTCTCTGATAGTGGAATAAAGAGTAAGTGAACCATTAATTAAGTTCGATTTAGATAAAGAATTTATATTCTCATTTTCTAATTGAAGAATTGTAGGAAGAATCCAATTATAGTAAGCTTTGGTTTGACAGTGAAGGAAGGGGTTTTGCAAGCAAGGAAGGAAATTTTTGATGAGATAATTGTTTTTCAAATAAAAAATCTTGTGATGAATGATAACTATTTTATGTTATGATTAATGATGTACAATTAAAGAAAAATACTCTTTGGAAATGTTTGGAGTAAATTAGATTATCGTAAGAAGAATAGGAATCCTTGATGTTGCTTTGAAAATCTATTTGACTACTTCAAGAAGTTTTATATTAATTAAGATCTTATTAATATTATTTGAACAATGGAAGATCTTCATAATTGAATTAAAACGAGTGTTGAAAAATCCATAGCAAAGCTTGAGGTTTTGAAGGAATCAAAGCTCAGAAATATTCAAAGTGGGTAATTACATTTGTTTATAATTTCATTATTGTATTTCTATTTTCATTTTGAAAGAAATATTTTATATAATTGTTTTGCTTATTTTGAAGCAATTATGAATATATGATGGTAAAATATGCATAGATTATCATGGGAAAATATGTAAGGATATAAGAATATGTGAAAAATATGTGAAAGAGATATATATATTGATTTAAGACACATGTAAAGAACATAAAACATGAAGTTGTATATATATATATATATATATATATAATACAAGTAAAGAATGAGAAAAGAAAATGATATAAATTATAAATTATAATTAAAAGCATAAATGAATAAATGAGAATAAAATATGCATGCAAAATACAAGAGTCACCCCCAAATGGTACTGGCTGGGGAAGCAATGTACCCGTGCACATTAAATGAAAATGAAAATGGTTTAATCTTTATTAGTACATTTAGGTGGTGCTCCTGTACAACATGAATTGGAAAAGGAATAAATGCTAAATTTTATGAAATGCATTGTATATGAAATGCAAATGAAATGTATAAATGAATGAATTAATAAAATGAAAAAAGAAGATGCATATACTAAATGTTGTATGATTGTTTATGTAAGTTTTAATATTGTATATGAAATGAGAAAAAAAGAATATGCATTTTATTTGTACATGTTTAATTGCTATACATATAGAAAGATTACTCACTGTGTAAACTCAACCTATCCAACTAATATTTTCAGATAAGTCTCTAAAGAATTAGAAATGACTGAAAGGGAGTAATACATCTACAGAAGACAACATACAAATGCAAACAGGTAATGTTAAGTATATAAAAGATTTGATGAGTAAAATTGATAGAAAATTTGTGATAGTGGCTCTTCAGTGTATAGCAATTTTGCAGTTGATTTTTTAAAAATTAAATGCAATGTTACAACCGTCCGTCCTTTTTGTTCCCACCTCATTAATTCAAGCATCCAGGCCAGGTCGTGACATTAAACTTTCCATTTTCCTTTTTATGCCTTTCAAATTGATTCTATCTATCCATTTATTGATTCCTCTTCCGCTCTTTGTCGTAAATACATGAATCGATTGAATTTCTACAATGTTGTGTCTGGTTTCCTCTATGAATCTCTTCAGTGGAATCATTCTCACTCAATCTAAATCATTTTACCACACATTACTCGTATCATTAACTTCAATTTCAAAACTTTCTTATTGTACAACACTGGATCTAAAATCAATTAACTTAAGATATCTTTATTTATGCTCTCTGCAAACCCTTCACATCAAAATCATCATGAGAAAAAAGACCCAATTTCAATATGATATCATGAAAATGGCATGACTATCAATGGCCAAAATGAAAATGGCATGAACATGATTTCCTAGTTCTGGCCAACACTAACCGTTTTACCCATGTTTCCAAATGTAAAGCATGATAAAAAATAATAAAGTATCTGATTGAAAATTTGGGTCCCAAGGCCCAACCCAAGCCATGCCAAAATAGTCCAATCCTAACAATTGCCCACCGCTACAATAACAGTTGCTTTTATATCATTTACAGTTTCTATATTACTAATATGCAGTTGTTTATATCAATCCCATTTCCTCTCCCATTGGTTGGTTCTCTCATATCACAGTTGCATGCTCATTCAATGTTCTGCAGCTTCATGCCAATTTAAGGTTTTGTTTCATTCGCGCTGGAACTTCCCACTTCTGGATGTAAGCTGGGAAATTCTTCCATGTAAAAGCTTTTCGTTGTCTATCAATGAAACTATACTTTCCAGCTCACATGTTTGGTATTATGAGTGCTGAAATTTTATGATAACCTTGGTATAGGTACACTCTGAATTAACTCAAGAGTTAGAAGTTTTCATGCTCAGTAGTACATAGCAAATTATATAACCCAAAAATACCGTCTTCATCATTTAGCCTTATCCCAAATATTTTGCAGTCAAACATATGAATGCTATCCCGGAAGATCCCAGAAGAGTCGAGGATTTTCCTTTCTATTTACTGCTATTTGTATCTGGAGACGTAGGTCTAAAAACTTAGGTAGATCCTTCATAAAGCTGCCTTAATCGAGTAATTTATTATCCAGAATGAAAAACTTAAAGTTCTAGCACTATCATTCACCCTATATATATATATATATAGAGGGGGGGAGAGAGAGAGAAAGGGAATTATTATTCATCAACAATTGAATTCGAGTTGTACATCACATGCATGGTTAATACCTTCAATTTAACTCCATTTTGACAGAAAACTAGGCCCCTGAAAGAGTGATCAACATACCAATTTTGGGATCGAAGGTGATATCTGGCAGAAAGACTTCATTTCTTCTCTAGAAGCAAGTGCGTCAATGAAAAGGATATCTGCTCCAGCATCACCAAAGGCTCTCGACCTCCACAATGCTTCCTCTAACGATACAGCTTGGCGGGAATCAGTACGTGCGATGATGACCAAATCAGATCCACTTTCATTCCGAGCATCAATTGCTGCTCTTATTCTCATTACTGCCTCTTCCCTCGAAGCCACTTTCCTTCCACGTGTATGTCCACAAGCTTTTGGTGACAACTTGAAAACAATAAAAATATCAATATTTTACCAAAAGAAGTGCATTACTTGTGGCTTGTTTAGCATCAAATATCTTTCCCTTAATAGAAAAATGGTTGGTTGTAGTAATTTATCTTATATTTTCAAGATGATGGTATTGAATCAAGATATTCACAAAAGATCTTGAGAGGTGTTTTCATTAGTCACAACATTTAATAATTCATCAACAAGCTTAAACAGGAACAATGGGCGCTGGATTGGTAGAACAGAACATGTTTGGGTGAGCAAAATCATAGCATTGAAACTAAAATAAGAAACATATTTCCAAAGTGAGTTACTAGAGACGATTGCTGTTAAAGTATTGTAGCAATACTTGCATTATTTCTAACGATTTTTTATGCATGATTATTATTTTTTAAGCTACTTTAGATCTTTAGTAACTATTAATATTATATTCATATATCTGATACTTTTCAATCCACTCAGATGCGTCTTTATTTTTATTCACCTAAATTTCATAATGTATATTAGATAATTATCCGAGAAAAATACATGCTCCTTGAATTTTGATGATAACCTCAACCATTATAGAAGTACAATTTTTTGAAATACAAATGCCATACCAATTGCTCAAATACTATTCTAATAATATTCTTTAAACATATAGTAGTAAAGGTTGGCAATATAAGGGCATACATACAAATCTCAAAATAGACCCCAAACTATTTGTGTGTGGCCATTTTAGCCCCAAAGTATCATGATACCCCAATTTAATCCCACGATTATACAAGATTAATCCAAAATGATCATATGTTGTAATTGTGATATAAAATTGATCTCAATTTAGTTCCTCAATTTTTTAAAAATTGATCTCAATTTAATCCCAATTTGATCATTTTAGATCAATTTTGTATGGTCGAGAGACTAAATTAGAGCAATATTATACTCTGGGACTAAAATGATCATACACAAATAATCATGAGACTATTTTGAAATTTAACCTGCATACAGAAAAATCTTAAAATAGCACAGCCTTGTGCTACATTTGCAGATAGCTTATTTTCATGAATTGAACCTGTGATCTCCGCATCACAATGGAGATAAAAATAACAGCTGTTCCAATCCCACCCTCTAGTAATAAAGTTCATAATAAAGGAAAAAATTAACTGTGCAAACTTAGATTTTTTTTTTGTTATCATAATAATAACTCCTATTAGATGTTATTGAAATGCATAATGCTCACTATCCGAATCTTCTTGGCTGCCTTAGATGATGCCAAAATGGCCTTAATGGGCAATACGTTATTTCTAAGGCGCATGAAACAAGTCAACAAAGAAATTTGTTTTTGCTACAGTTAGAACCATAAATGTATAATTACCATTACATCAAAACTTAATTAACACAAACACTGAATTTTACACAATGTTTATAGCCCATCATCCTTACCTTTCAATCATATAGAATTGTGTTAAATCCAGAAGTAGTGCAAAATAGACTTCCATAGAGTAAACACTTGGTGTACTCAATTGGTATGCATGGGGAGAATTCATGGAATTTAAGCAGTTATGCCATTTACCATATAATTCGTTTCTTGCATAAAAAATTAATTCTCGAGAACCAAATTGAAAAATTAATTCTCAATAAAGTTAATGCACCTGATAAGCCTTGGTCAAGCAACCTAGCCCCATGATATTATCATATAATTCGTTTCTTGCATAAAAAAAAAAATCAATATATATAATCCCCATTTGGTCCGCACTTTTTTTTTTCATCTGCAAAGCAAGTCTAACGATGTTAGTTTTCAGTTAACTAATTTAAGCAGTTACCTGGTCTTCAAGAAGGATCCCTGCAAATCCTGCTCTAATGAAGCCTTTCACAGTTCTCTTGATATTCATATGATTCCCATACCCATTGTCTCCATCTCCAACCACAGGGATCGATACAGCTTGTGTGATCTGATATCCTTGATCAAGCACTTCTCCATAGGAAATAAGCCCCACATCTGGCAAACCTAACCGCGCAGCTGAAACCGCAAATCCTGAAAATAACCAGATATTTTTCTAAGTACAAACATCACCAAAGAAGTGATTATGCAAACTCCACTTATGCTATAGAACAAGAATACAAAGGTAAATTCCAAGTCGACTGCTTATGGTTACAGGTAGATTAGTTTAATACTTGCTATTCTGGACAGGACAACCGATTTTTTTCCTTTAATAAAACTAGCTATGCAATTCTCGCATTACAGCAAAAAAACAAAAAAAGGAAAAAACCATACGCAAATAAGAAGGGCAACTTCATCGAGGACCAAAAATCAATCACATCAGAGATACACCCCCTCGATCAATTTGCATGTAGTTGATCACTACTGCCAATTTACAAAGCCATTTCATTTGCTATTTCAGGATATTACAATAGCCAGTTTTTTGACATATCAGAAAGAAATGAAAACCAATCAAAAGTAAACTGATACCCTTGCATCAAGGTAACATTTTGATAATCGAATTCGACTCTATACCCTGTCTTAGAACAAAGGTATAGAAGAAGCGCCTGTGAGGCCACGGAACAAACACCTACCGCCCATGAAGGCCAACGGGAAGCCGGCCCGTTCTATGAGCTTAGCGCTGAGAGCGTCATGGCAGACGGGACCTTGATGAATCCCAGGTGACTCAAGGAGACGCCGGAGTGCCTTCGCCGGCGTCTCGCCGGCGGCTGCGCTAGCTACGTACCTGCTACCCATTCTTGGGAATCTCCTAGCAGGAACTGGAAGCTTTGCGGGTAAGAATGACAAACGCAGCTGCTATGTTTCCAAATTGAAAGTGGAAGAGTCTGAGTACTGCTTAAGAAGTGAAAACCCCATCGTAAAGAAATCCGAACTTTCAAGGTGAGTGACCCTACGGCGACGAAAGAACTTGGCCTGCAGTGTGGTATATATATATATATATAAGTAGGGGTGTGGATGATAACTGACTCGACCCGAAAATTTAATCCGAATTCAACTCAAAAATTTTTTGTTGAGGTCAACATATTAAATAAATGGGTCGGTTCAGATCTAAATTCTGGACCCATATAGAATTCTGGTTAGATTTAGGCTAACCCGTGAACCCGATGGTGACCCAAAATCGACCCACGTTAAGAGGCTTTAATAAGTCTTTTCGGACTTTACGCGACTCATTCAATGGCATTTTACAAGGGCTATAGTTTTATGGATTTTTGAGGCAGAGTTTTAGGTTTCTCGCTTCCTCAACTCGCAGCCTCGCACCATTTGGAATTTGGATTTCCTCCACAACTCAACTCTCCAGCACCAGCAGTTAGGCTTCCCCGCATTACCCTACACTAGTCGGCCACGGTCTGTAATCAATAAACTCATGACTAACTTTGGTTTCGATTTCAGACCTTCGATTTTGCTTAGTTTCGATTTCTGATATGCTCTTCCTTTTTATCACACTTTAGCCATATGGATTTTGGGATTTTAAAGTAAAGTTGAAATGCATTTGTAGATTAGGGTTTTTTATTTTTGTTGTTTTAGATGTTGAAACAATAAACGAGTTTCATTATTTGTTGTATTTGTGTCATGCACCGTTGCACTCTTGTTGTTTACCATGTTCTTGAGTCTTAACATGTAATATATTGGTCTGTTGTCTGCGGGTCGGGACTCGGGAGATTAGGTGACATCAGTTGTTGACAGTAATCCTATCGAGCATAATGAGCAAGAGCCTATTGATAATGATGTGGAATGTGATAGTGATGAGTATAACAATTTGGATGTGGGTGAAATTAGTGATAATACAATTAGAAATGAAGAAATGAACAAAAAAGAGAGGAGATTGACCTCTATTGTCTCGGGACATTATGAAATGTTGTCACTTGCCAATGATGACAAACAACATTGCAAATGGAAGAAATGTGGGGCAACTTACCTATGCGATAATAAAAATGGTACAGGTAATCTGCGACGTCGCATTCAGAACTGTAAGAAGCAATGTCATGATATTGGTCAGCTTATTCTTCAAAATAACACAATCACTTCTATTTATATGGTTGAAAATAAGTTTAATTATCATGAATTTCATAAAATAAGTAACACAAGCATCATTTGAAATTTAGAATTTATGCAATTTCCCTTTTTTAATTTAAAAAAATTTACAAAAAAAAAAAAAAAAGACTGGTTGGCGGGTCGGGTCCAGGTGCAGAAAGTGGACCTTTATAGTTAAACGGGTCGACCCAACCCGTTTAGCTTCAGGTCAGTTTCGAGTTTGACCTGAACCCCACATGTCAACTCGAATTGACTCCCCTAATTTTAAGAAGGAATATGATGTTTACTTTAAAATAGAAATAGAAGCACAATATTAATTTTTTTTTTTAAATAAGTAAATTAATCAAACAGAATGATGCATTTCATTGAATGTACCAAATTATTTGGTGTATTTAGAATAAGCCAAATAGTTTGACACATTTAAATGATTGTGATATTTTGTTTGGTGCATTCCATTGAATGCATCAAGTTATTTGGCTCATTGTTATAGCATTTTTAGAATTTAGTTCGGCTAACTGGGGTGGATTCGCTAAATGATTTGGTGCATTCTAAAGAATGCATCATTCTGTTCGAATAGTTTATTTCTTTTAAATTTATTTTTATACTCTACATTTTTTTAACTATTTTTTTATACTCTATATTTTTATACTCTACATCTATTCCTAATTTAAATTAATCACCATGCTTATTTTTTCAAATTAAACAGTAGAATATTTGTTTAGTGTTACATCTCTTTTAGACTTTAAAATTACTTTTGTTTAATTTAGCATGGAGAGATATTTCAAGAAAAAAGTAGAAGGAGATGATCAGAAAAAGTTATGTGAAGAAACAAATACACAATTCAAACAATGCCGTGTAGAAATAAATTTTGCAGATATTCCTGCCGATCCTGGATTGAGAAAAAAAATATTTGATTATCATCCTAATGAAAGGGATTGTGTTAGGAGACATTACTTGTTGAAAGGACCGTTCCAACCGCGTGATCATGATTTTCCACGTACACAATTCGGTGATAAAATTCGTCGATTTAATCCTGCATGGTATGATGATCACAAAGCTTGGTTAGAGTACTGTATAACTAAGGATGCAGCGTTCTGTTTGTTTTGTTATTTGTATGGACCTCAACTTGGAGAACAATCAAATGGTGACAGTTTTGATTCAAAGGGTTTTAAAAATTGGAAAAAAAAAGAACGATTGCAGATTCATGTTGGTAATAAGAACAGTTCACATAACATTGCTAGGCGAAAATGTGAAGATTTAATGAATGAAAATAGTGATATAAGATTTGCTTTTGAAAGACCTACAGAACAGAATCGCAAAGATTATCGTACACGATTAAATGCAAGTGTTGATTGTGTACGTTTCCTTTTACAGCAGGGGTTAGCATTCCGTGGGCATGATGAATCAGAGGATTCTGAGAATAAAGGAAATTTTCTTGAACTTCTGAGCTTTCTTGCTAAACACAATGAAGATATAAGTAAAGTTGTTTTGGATAATGCTCCTGGAAATAATAAATTAATTTCTCCTGAAATCCAGAAAGAAATAACAGAAGCTTCTGCAATTGAGGTCTCTAATGTCATAATCAATGAATTGAAAAATGATGTATTCTCAATTTTACTAGATGAAGCACGAGATATATCAGTCAAAGAACAAGTTGTCGTTGCTTTACGTTATGTTGATTTGCGAGGATGTATCATTGAGCATTTTATTTGGATTGTTCATGTAGGCGATACAACAGCTCCAACACTAAAATTGGCCATTGAAGCTTTATTTGCAAAGTATGGTTTGAGTGTGGCTCAACTTCGAGGACAAGGGTATGATGGAGCAAGCAATATGCGGGGTGAGTTTAATGGATTGAAGACTTTGATCATGAAAGAAAATTGTTCAGCTTATTATGTCCATTGCTTTGCACACCAACTCCAGTTAGCATTAGTTGCAGTCGCAAAAAATCATGTTCAAGTTGCTTCTTTCTTTAATATTGTAACAAGCCTGTTAAATATTATTGGTAGTTCATGCAAAAGAAGAGATATGCTAAGAGGAAAACATTATGACAAAATAATTGAGCAACTAGAAAGTGGAGGAGCTACAACAGGTCGCGGTTTAAATCAAGAAATTGCAGTTCAAAGACCAGGAGACACTCGTTGGGGTTCTCATTATAATTCACTTATCATCTTAATTCTACTGTTTGGGTCTATATTGGAGGTTCTTGAGATATTGATACATGAGGGATCTAGTAGTGAACAAAGAGGCGAAGCGTATTCTTTACTTGAATCTATGCAAACTTTTGAATTTATTTTCAATTTGCATATGATGAAGCTCATATTAGGAGTTACAAATGAGTTATCTCAAGTACTGCAAAGAAAGGATCAAGATATTATAAATGCTATGACTTTGGTTAAAGTTTCCAAACAAAGACTTCAAAATATGAGAAATGATGGTTGGGATAATTTGTTTAAAGAAGTTGGATTATTTTGTGAGAAGAATAACATAAATGTTCCAAACATGATTGACACATTTGTGATGCAAGGAAGATCAAGGCGTCGTACGGAAAGTATAACAAATAAACATCATTATCAAATCGAATTATTTTACACTGTTATAGATATGCAACTTCAAGAACTCAACAACAGGTTTGATGAAATTAACACAGAATTACTTATGTGTGTGGCATGTTTAAATCCATATCAGTCATTTTCAGCATTTGATAAAGAACGATTGATTCGTCTTGCAAAATTTTATCCGTTAGATTTTTCAGAAATGGATCTCATCATATTAGACAATCAAATTGAAAGTTTTATTATTGATGTGAGATCGAATGATGCATTTATGAATTTAAAAGGACTTGGAGAACTTGCTCAGAAAATGGTGGAGACCAGAAAGAATGATATTTTTCCTTTGGTGTTCTTACTTATAAAACTTGCTTTAATATTGCCAATTGCTACCGCAACAGTTGAACGGGCATTTTCTGCAATGAACATTATAAAGAATCGTTTACGCAATCGTATGGGAGACTCTTGGATGAATGATTGTTTACTTACTTATATTGAAAAGGATATATTTAATAATGTTGACAACGACTTGATTGTACAACGATTTCAAAAAATGAAGACTAGGCAGGAAGAAATTATAGATGATAGATAAGAAGAATCTCAAGATTTTCTGTTCTCAATTGTAAGTTTTTTTTTTTTGCTTTAAAAAAAAATTTAAAACCGCCTATGCCGGTCCCAAGCCCGGATGAAAAAGGTTGAGGATTTTTTTTACTTCAATGATTTGTGCCCCCACAAGAAAAAAATCCTGGCTCCGCCCCTGGTTAGAACCCACCTTGGCTTGAGCTTGTAGCCACCTTCACGTTGTATATGTGCTTTCTTAATTATAAGTGGCTCTGCAGTCTCTATTATAGCTTGAAACTGAGCTTTCAAGTGATAGGTTGTCGAATTAGTAAAAATAAAAAAAATGCTTAATTTAACATCTTCTGAATGTTCGTATTAACAGTATTAACATTCTCAATTGGTGGGAAGTGACAACTTGTATTGTTTCTTTATCTAACTCCTTGAGATGACCCTTCTATTCTTTTTCTGAACAAAGACATCAGACATATGATGTAACATTTATATATGGGGATCTACATTTTATGAGTGTTCATGTTTATATATTCATATAATTTAGTTTTACTTAAAATAATGATGTAACGCAGCTCTTTTTGATCTGTTGGTTGGGTGCTTTGATTACTTATTTATATAATTGTAATTATATAAATAAGTAATTAATAAAGATGATGAATTTTTATGATTATAAGAAAGTCAACATAAATTCAAATCAAGAAAATGATTATTAATATATAAATTGAACATTTGGTTAATTGATGTATCTTCTTATTATAAAGTGATCATGAGGTGATGCTTGGTGATTGATTAGATGATGGCAACTCTTCAGTTGGTGGGGAGGAAACTAATGAGAATGATTTGAATTCTCTGGACTGTTGTGGCTTGATGGCAACCATTGGTGGTGCTTCCTCTTCTTCTGATTGGTGGCATTTGAGTGAGATGCGAAATTATGTTCGTCCATTTTCCGTCTTCATCTGTGTGGTATTTTGTTTGCTTCCTTTTTTGGATGGTCCTTAACTAGCTTCTGGGTGGTTCCTGACAATGATTGAGCTTGGCTAGCTTTTGCCTTCTTCATTGTTTGTTGCCTTTTTTTTTTTAATGTTTGTAGCACTGTAATTTTTGCTTTGGTCTTTTTTGGTCTTACTTGTATCCTTCTTTTTTTAATGGAATTTTATCCCTTTTGATTAAAAAAAGAAAAAAATGGCTGCAATAATATTGAGCTTATTTATTGAGATTTTAATCAACATATAAAATGTAAGGCTATCTATAATAATTGTACAGAAGATCACCATATGCGAGAAAAACTTTGCAGCTTTTCAAACGAGCTTCTATATATTAGCGTGGTTTATTGTTTCATTATTTAGGCTGACACTTCATAGTATGCTCATTATGGCTATTCCATAAAATAATTTTTGTTTGCTCATTTTAACATAATTTTATGTGAAATTATTATCCCGATAGGCAATCTCAAGAAATGCTTATTCATTATTCTATGGCATTGAATATTGGTAAGTTGCAAAAAGTAATTTTATGTAACATGATTTTTTTTTATATCCATTTACTTTGTGTTGTATATTTATTTATTGTTTATAATATTTCTTAGGGCCTTCTGTTGGAGCAGTGGATGGGCACATATTAAAATGCTACGTAGTATGTTTGATATACAATTTTGACGTCTACCATTAATAATTTCATTCACTATAGAAATGTCACGGATTTGCATCTGAAAATTCCGTCGCAAAATGTGGAAAATCCGTCGTAAAATTCAATTTGCATATTTGCGGCGGAAATAAAAAAAATTGAAATTTGAACCTGATCGGCTACCTGAGCCTGACCGACTGCCTGCTCGAGCCCACATGACTGGCTGCCCGTGCCACATGACCTGCCTGACATCCGATCCTGATCCTCTTCTCTAGCAAACAGCCCATTCAATTCTCCACATGGCCACGGAGACGAAATACAACATAACAATTTTTAATTTATATTATTACTTATCTCGCGGCGGATTTGCGACGGAAAATTCCGCCGCAAAAAAAAATCGTCGAAAATTTTCATCACAAATCCGTCGTCATTTTCGACAAAAAATAATCTTCCGCAAATCCATAACTTTCCTACAATGATTGACATTTTATTAGGCATAGTTTTTGCTAATTATTAACCATAGAATAATCAAGTATTAAGTGCATTATATCATACTCCAATTGCATTGTACTATATAAGATATTATAATGCCATCTACATACAAGTTTTAGAGGATAGAATAATCATGATTAGTTTTATCATGAGAGCCTTGGGTTAACACTCATCCATATGTCACATATTTTAATAGGCAATATTCTTCTCATTACAATGCATATATCATATTGTCTCCATTGGAGGAAGCAATGCTAACAAGTTACATGACATCCATAATAATCGCTTTGCATGCAATTGGATTATTTTTTTGCAAAAAAACTGGTAACTTTTTAGCTTTTTCTGTTTTTGTTCTCTTTTTTCAATGCAAAGGTTTTCTTTTGTGTACTCCTACTTTAGTAAAATCTTGTGAGCTCTTCTTTGATTTTAGGGTTTTTTACATACATAACACTTAAAACTATGTTATTTACTTATCTAACAACTAAACTTACCTATTTAAACACATACCACTAAAAAGCTTTTTGCCTTTCTAAAAAACCACTCTGTCTCCTCTCCTTTAAGCTCCGTTCGGCAACTCTGTTCGCAAGCTTATTTGGGCACAAAACTTATCTTCCTCCAGCATTTGCTCATCTTTTCCATTTCATCGAAGAACAAAGCGGATCTCTATTACCATCGAAACGCATCGGAGTCTCCTGTCTAGCCTCCTGTACGTTCCAGCCGAAGCCTCCCGTCTAGACTCGTGTATGTTCTGCCTCTGAAAAAGAAAAATTTTGATTAAGTAAGCTGCTATATTGTATTCTTTGCTAGATATGTGTTGATTAGGTAAGCTATTATATTGTATTATTTGCTAGAAAAATTTTGATTAGGTAAGCTGCTATTTTGAAACAGAAAAATCCATTCTGCCTCCCGTTTAGACTCACTGTTGTTACTGTCAAAACGCATTGGAGCCTCCCGTCTAGCCTCTTGTACATTCCCGCCGAAGCCTCCCTTCTAGACTCGTATATGTTCTTCCTTTGAAATAGAAAAAAATTGATTAGGTAAGCTACTATATTGTATTCTTTGCTAGATATACGTTGATTAGGTAAGCTGAAATATTGTATTCTTTGCTATATTGTATTCGTTGCTAGAAATATTTTGATTAGGTAAGCTACTATTTTGAAATAGAAAAATCCGTTCTGCCTCCCGTCCAGACTCGCTGTTGTATAAAGTTAAAAAGTTTTTCTGGTTACTAACTTCTTTGCTAGATATGGATTCCAACAATATATGATATATTGTATTCAAATATGAAGGATATTGGAGTGTAGTAAAGGGACATAGCAGGTTAAAATATGTTGGTGATAGTCAAAGAACTTTAAAACTTGAGAGAAGTGATGTTAATTTATTTTTGCTGAAAGAACAAATCGGAGCACTATGCTCGTGGCTAAGGGGGCATTCTTACAACCTACATTATCACATCAATGAAACATCACCTAAAAATTACATGCACATTATAAGTGATACAAATGTAATGGATATGCTTACATATTCTTCTGATTCCCATAAAATGGTGGTGGTTGTCATCGTGAAAGAGCTTGAAGAAGGTATGGGTATTACTTGTGATAGCCAGCATGTGGATACGCATGATTCAAGTGGCAATAGAACGACAAACAATGATGTAATAGTTGGTGGAATGTCTCATGGTATTATTGACAGTCTCGGTTTAGAGGAAAATTCTTTAATTGTAGGATCACGGTTTGAGGATTCGTTCAATTCCAAACAAGTCATTTGTTCCAATGCAACAATACTTAACTTTGATATCAATATTAAGGCTAGTGACAAATCAAGAGTTATTGCTACATGCTCATATCATGGTTGTCCTTGGAGGATACGAGCTTTGTTATGTTCTGATGGCTACTCCTTTGAAGTGAAAAAATTAAATCCTACACATTTATGCCATGGGGTAAACATAATTGGGAACAAGTAAGAAACTACAAGCTAGGTTGCCCACGAAATCCAGGACATTGTCAAAAGAAATCCTGATATTACACCAAATGACATTAGTAATAACTTGGAGACTACTTATGGTTTGAGTTTGTCATAAATGAAAATATGGCGATCAAGGGCACTAGTAAGAGACCAAATGTTTGGATCAATAGATGATAACTACAAGTGGATTCCAACATTGAAGTCTGAATTACTCAAAATAAATCCATGCTCTCATATAACATATCAATGTGACAACCACAACAAATCATTCAAGAGATTCTTTGTTAGTTTTAAAGTTTGTATTGATGGCTTCCTCGCAGGTTATAGATTTTTAATTGGTGTTGATGTTTGCCATTTGAAATCAAAATATTTAGCTGTACTACTTTCTGCAAATTTGAAGTAATTCATAAGTAACTGTCTAAAGAAGATTTGAATGAACTTCTAATGCATCTGTACTCCTTAATCTATTCATAGCTTCCACTTCACCATTTTGTTCATCCACCCATCTAAAATATCTGCAATCATCTTCTGATCTATTTCTAGGGTATTGATAGAACTTCCTTCCATGACTATTAGCTTTGTAGCAAGTATACGTTTCACATTGCATATTGCAATGACAATAGATTGGATTGTCTAAGCTTCTTGTTGATGGCATCGAGTGGCTAAAACTCATGTCACAAATTCAAAAAGAAAATATGTTTAAGCTATGCTGAAAAAAGACAAAGCTTTAAATAAAACATTGTACATCCAAACATTGAAATTCATAGTTCCAACCAGAAAAAAGAAAGGTATCAAAGAAAGTATACATTCCCACATGAGTTTCAACCACAAGTATACATTCCCACATGAAATTCATAGTTTTAAATAAAATCTTGTAAACCGTATCATGTAAAAACGAAATGTACGAGCCAACCGAGATTGAATGTATAAGAAGACAAC